TTTAAGAGGAGCTCAAACTTCTCTCTAATCTTTACGATCCCTTTAAAACGGAGACTGGTTACTTTTAGTATTCTAATAACCACTTCTCGGTAAATAAACGAAGGGACGCTGATTACTGATTTAAAACAGCTTCTAACGTGCAGACATTTGATCAAAAACACATGTTAGCCCATACAACAGACAGAAAAGAAACAAAAACTCTTCCTTCTGTCTTGAAGCAAGGCATCGTCAGAATGCTATTTCTGCTGCACATACTACAGTCCCTGTTCATCGCTGTTTTGGTAAATTCCTCGTTAAACGTGCACGGGAGAGTAAAGGTCAATTTCTCCCGAGAAAAACTCCGCTAACTTTTCACCAGACCGGTCGGTGTCGATCCATAGCTTTACTTTAACCGGGGTAATGGCCAAACGTTTCTCTTAAATTTGCAAAGAAAAAAAAAACACGATAAAAAAGTATACCTTTTGCAGTCCAATAAAAAGTCATTGAGACCGTGTGGCGAGAAAACGGTTAACTGGATGGGTCCGCAGACGGAATGAACTAGTTTTCCAGCGTCCTCCCTACACGCTCAGTGTGAGCTGCTGTCGGCAACTCTCACCCGTGTTTCTGTGGGTTGAAGAGCTCTCACCGACTGGAACGGTTCTGTCCGGCCCTGTGCTTCTTCACAGCCTGTTAAACAGTGAATTTCACTGTTACTCATCTCTACTTCGGTTTAAACCTACAGTATTTGGGGAATGTACCACCGTTGTGTAAAACTCCTGACCCTACACAACAATCACGTATAATATTTCCTTAATCTACCAAGTGTAACAGGAGAAGTATGTAAAATATGTTCGTACTGAAGAAAGTCTCTCGTGCCATGTGGAATAAGAAGGGTTTACATATCCATCGTACGCGTCATGTACAGTTATCAATCTATATGTATATCAGACAATTTCAGTAAGGTTGCTAAAATAAGTTTTTTTCTGGCCGATTAAGATTTAGTTTAGAAGAAATCGGCAATTTTATTTGTAGTTTCTTGAACTTGATGCACAAAAATTCTTACATTTGCACCTAATTTTAGGCAGATTGCTAAAAGGTTAATTTTTTTTTCTGCGGGACTAAGATTTCGTTTAGAAGAAATCGGCTGTTTTATTTGTAGTTTCTCGAACTTTACGATCGTGATGCGTAAGTTTGTGGGATTTCCAGGAGTCAGAGTTAACTGGTGCGGGCCCATTACCACGTAGGAAGGAAAGCGCCCAGCAGCTGACTACTGGACTTCAGGATTTGAGTGAGCCTGGGAGAGGAAGCATTTGAACCCGGATTGCAAGCGAAATATTCTGTATAACCAGGGAGGACTGGATGCAGCTGGGGCGGGCGGTAGGGAGTTACGCTGTTATACAAAGCTACCGCATCCGCCCTGTTTTGAAACTTCGAAGTAGAACCTCTACAGCAAGGGTGACTTTCAGGAGGAATGGTTTTCTCGCAGTGTTCACGGTGCACTGCTGTATACTCGGCCAGAAATACAAGGAGAACGGGGGAGAAGATTACTACCCATCAACACCAAGGGAGCAGCTGAAATTTGCACCGCCGCAACTGTCCGCGTGTTCTAGTCGGAAGTTCACATGAAAATATATCAAATCCTCCAACGCCCTGATGCTGGGTGCCTATTTGTCTCAAAGCCTTTTTATTCCTTGCTTAAAATTAACTCCGATAATAGTTGATAAGACAGTAAAGCAAACGCAGAGATTCGAAAAGTTAAATGATGAATTCAATCGATCATACGATGTACCTTTCTGAGGTTCTTACACAAAAGCACGATTTGAAGCTTTCCCCATCTCCTCAATCCTTTGTTCATCCACTTTCCAGGTGAAACACAACTTTGTGTGAAGTATTTGAAGGCAATGTATTCTCCAGAGCAAATAATTTATCAAAGTGATATAAGCTATCGCAAATCTGAATTAGAACAGAGTTGGGTGTCTCTGTGTGTGTGTGTGGTTTGTTTTGTTGCGAATATCAGAGAAGATCTTGTAGATTTTAAGAAGGAAACATGGTCACTGCAAAGTAGGAATCACACGGCAAATAAAAGCCCCGAGTGTTGATTTTAAATAAAAGTCTCGGTTTATTATTGCTTCATACTCTGGGTTTCATTGAAGATAACCTTGCCAATGTCAGACGCTGAATATTTTGATATAAAGATTTTTTTTACGATTACGTGACTTTTTTTTACTGTTCAACAAATTGTTCAAGGCTTCCGCGCCATTTTTCAAAGCACAAATTGTCCGTTACGTGTTCTGTTAGGTCAAATAGGGAATCAGATTGGCCAGTGCTGTCATCGCTTTGGTGGTGAACTCGTACATGCCGTTAAGGAATCGCCAACAGTGTCCGCTTTTAATTGGCGAGGAACCTACTTTCACACACCCATTGGCACTCAGAGCTCCACACATTTCCTTGCTGAAACATAGCCACCCGCTACTTCTCAAACATCGACACATGCTCAATCGGTGCATTTACAAACCAGGTCCACTCTCAGCAGAACTACAAACCAGGTCCACTCTCAGCAGAACTTGTCTGATGTAGATTGGGAGGTTAAAATCAGAACCGCTTCTGTTTAAAGCGTGTCTTGTTGTGCATTGCTCCTGGGTCGGGATTTAGATTTGGACAGTGAGTATAGTGAGTGCCAATCACCTTTACAGCTGTACTGTGAGTGTTCTCTCATTCCTTTAAATCCCATGTGCATTCAGACAAGCTCCCTCTTACTGGCTGATATACTTTACAATCCATCTCACTACCTGCATGCTGCGTAACAGACATACACACAGACTTGTCAACAAACATATATCTCGGCATGGTCTTTCACACACAAAGCAGTTCATTTTCACAATCTTAGATACATACAATGGCACATTTTCCTCTCCTTTATATGGGAGTATAACTGGGTGCATCTCTCAATCACAAATCATTACAGTTGTTCAGATTGAAATCATATTTACCAGTGAAAGGACACGTTTTGCTGAGAGGTTCCTATACAGACTGGTGTCCGTGTGATGAAAAGAGAGATCACAAAATCCCGTCCCGAATTCTAGCCAAACAGCAATTACATGATTGATAACGTGGAACGTCCACTTTGGTTGTCCATTGATAAGATATGCCCAGAGCGAGCAACAAGGTGCTGCAACATTTCCCGAAAGCCTTATAGTGTCTCTATTTTAGAAAATGAGAGCGTAAAACTGAGCCTGTTGGAGTGACAGGTATGTAGACCTACCTGTTGTTTTCGGATGTCACCTTCCAGTGCTTCTCCATTCCACGCCTGGAAAGGAAATTAGAGGAGATGAGCTGGGAATCGGCAGCAGAATCTGGGATAACTGCGGAGTACAGCGAGACCAGCTGCTGCCTTCTGTTGGGCCCACATACTCCCAATAAAATGCCCTGGGGACTTTACACCACATGAAAACACCAAGCATTGCGTAAGCATGCCCTGAAAAACTGACCTTCACAGAGAATGAACACGCTGAGGATAGTTTAGCGACGTTAAACGTAGATGGTACTTTCCGTGACATTGTCCTACATTTGCGAGAAAAGAAATATTTGATGGGAACATTTGGGACACTCCCGTTTGAAGTGGCAGCGTTACTGCAGATTGAATGTTAAATTAAGCACAGAAGGGTCAGAGGAAACACAATCAACAGGAAGTGTAGCCATGGGGTAAAAGGAACACAGCTCATAGTGCGCTGCCTCTCCAAATACCAGCAAAAAGGACTCAGCACACGTGTTAATGATTACAATACATGTAAAAGGGGAGAGTTATATGCGAGTGACACAACACAGATTGTGCAAAATAAAATAAAAAGAAAATAAATACAGTTAAACAACTATAGGGAATGAAATGAAAATATTAAGCAGATTACACACATGGCTCAACTCTGAAGGAACGACATAAATGCAGCCAAGGATTCATAATAACGAATTCGACCTAGTTGTGGGTAGATTGTAGTGCACTTCGCTTCCCTCGCGGTTCAGTGGCTTGCAGACCTTTCCTTTCCACTGTCAGGATTTATAATTGCTCAAAGCTGACGGTATGCGACCTACTCGGTATTTTTACTGTGTGTCGCCGCGTTCAGTTGATGGAATCTCCGCCTCAGAAATCCGAATGAAATATCCCGGTTCGATGTAGTTCTCCCTGCACCCACCAACTAATCTCACCCTGCAGTGAAGTTTGTACAAAGGCAACATTGCACAAGACGGATAACAAAGGTCGGTCAGTATCAATAGCGTTTATTGAGATCACATGGCAGATAGTGATACACACACTTCAGCAGGTACAAGTCGACGCAGCGTGGATACAGTGGAAACGCATTTTAAATATAGAGTTCAGTGCAATATATCAGAACGTAAACCACCATAGATTAAAAAAAACACGAGCATGTCTCTATACATTCTGTACGCGCCAGAACCAATTGCACTGACATCCTGTAAGTTCCCGAGAGGGTCGGAATGGGATCAGCAAGGAGCCTGATGCCAATGAAGTTGTTGGCATATGACAGCGATAACATACCAGGGTCTGAGGACAGTAGGACGAAAAAGACCAAGGATTGTTTTCTGAGGGCTAAGTAGTCTATTTTCTGGCAGGGCGTTGCGATGACTTCCCATATATTTCTGCAGCTTTCGGCCACGTGGGCTGGACATGGCCAACCAAATCTACATTAGTTTGGGGCAAAAAGCTATAGATATTGTTCCGTTTGACAATACAACGTGCAGAGCAAACCGTGTTATTAAAAAAAATCAGAGTTATATAATCGCTGTCTTTAGCTACGGAGTAAGCAGTCTGTCTGTTTCTGAATAAAACCCGAAAGAACTGCGGATGCTGTAAATCAGGAACAAAAACAGAAGTTGCTGGAAAAGTTCAGCAGGTCTGGCAGCATCTGTGGAGAAAAAAAATCAGAGTTAACGTTTCGGGTCTGGTGACCCTTCCTCAGAAAAGGGTCACCGGACCCGAAACGTTAACTCTGATTCCTTTCTCCACAGATGCTGCCAGACCGGCCGAGCTTTTCCAGCAACTCCTGTTTTTGTTTCTGTTTCTACTTTACCAGGCGACAGCCCACTTCAACTTGTAAAGTACCACATTGCTGTTGGGTGATGTTACTCGCGAGGAAGGGCAAGCATTCAGCTGCTGCATTTTCAGAATATCGCATTTTAATATTTTGTTTATCCAACTATGTTAGATGTAAAACCGAAACTATAATTTTATTTACAGCTATTACTTACTTCCGGAACCATCTGCCTAACACTTCACCGAGAGTAAAACATAATATTTTCTCTTATAAGTTGACAGGTCAGAGATTGATAGAGGCCTGGCTGAACTATAACGTTGACCAAGGGCTGGAATGGAACTGATCGGAGGAGGGAGCTCAATTTCGCCCGGGGTGACAAGTCACTGATACGTCCAAAGGCCGGCGCTTTTCGGCGGCAAGTGTTGTTGTCGCTCACAGTCCTTTCAGCTCATACACTATTACTGAAAAAATGACCATTATCTATGAACTAAATGGTATGCTGCAGTCTGCACTCCATTGTTAAAACTGTAAAAGAGTTTTTTTTAAAAAAAACTTCATAACTGCTGTAACTATCTAGCCATCTATCTTATTGTTAATATGAAATATTCAGCTACTTACTATCATTACTGGAACCGCCTGAGCTAACTATAGAGTCATTTCAAGTTGTTGTATAGATTTCAATGTTAATCTGTTGGCATAAGTATTAGTTTAAAACAGAAAATCGCTTTAAAATTCATGACCACGCATGTATCATTTTACAGAGTATGTAATTAACTACAATCCAAGCCGTCCCCTTTCATGTTTCTCGGCAAGATACATACATCAGCATGAGCAGAGCAGAAATGGGACTCACTAATTAACGATTAACGAAAATAATTTTCGTCTAAAACTCAGGCTGCAGAAATTTTCTTAAAATTCTGGAAAATATAGCTGATAATGTCGCTTTGAGCAAGTCAGACTACAGCGTTACACAGATGGATTCACGTACATACAACAGCAGAATCATCCAAGGAATTTTCTTTGTATATAAACATAAATCTGAGAGAAGCAGAAACAGCCTCACAAAGGGAAACACGAATATCGGAAATCTACTAATGCAACTGCACTTTACACACAGATATAAACTGTTACAATTGGACATCCTCAAGGACCTTAGACACTTGGTCGCAAACAAACATCAGACAGACTCACGAACACAGCATCACTCACACTGAACTATTGTCCTATACAGTTCACGGAGGGTTGACGGCTAGAAATACACATTTAATTCACACCCAAGTCAATGACTGCAAACTTTCACAGTGTTGTGCAGATCTAACACAAAGCAAATGATTAGTCGTTTCATCGGATATAACATGTATCTATTCCCAACACACTTTGCCCTCAATATGTTTTATGAACTATCTCACGCATTTGCTATTTTGTTTTGCATCTTGCAAATGTACTGTGTTTCTATGGATATTTCCGAGGTCCTGCAGTTCTGTTAAATTGATTGACTCCTTAACGGCGGCCTTCCCATTTAGTCACTACTATCCTCCATGAGTAGGAAACGAGGACATATGATGTTCAGACCAGCAATCCACCAACAGTGTACTAGTGTGATATGGTCTTGAAGATGCAGCATGTGCAACAGAGGCCTGTTACAAATTGATAAAGAAGATCTTATTCTGTAAGTGTAACTCCAGGAACTACATATAACCAGCAATAAAACCGAGCTAGTAGAATGGTTCTTTTTGTCCGTGAACACGTGCCACTTTAAGGCCTTTCATTTTCCTTAGTTCGACCTCGACTTAAGGTAAAATGTAACAAAATATCAAAGTTGCCTTAATGGGGACAAAGACGGCCAATAGAAAGGGACTGTATAAAAGGGGAGACAAATTAATCAATGCTTTAAATTAGGCAAAATTGTTGCATTTTCAATTCGGAATACTTCGGCAACGACTCCTACATTAGGTTAAAGCCGGGTTGATTAGAATTTATATAACTTGAATACTTTCACAAGTAGACATTGAACGATATTTGTATTTTTAATTTTGATAAAATACCCCTTCACAAAGATATTATGAAGCAGAATCTGACATCGAACCATAAAGCAAAATCTTAGTCAATGAGGCAGATTTTAAGCAGCCTTTTCAAAGAGGAAGGTGAATTAGAGGGTCATGGAGCAAAGGAAAGGAATACAATGTTAAGCACATTTTGTTGAACTATTCTGAGAATTGGTTGAATATCAAGGCAAGAACATAACACCTTAAGTAATATGTCGAGGAGTCAATGCACTCATTACTGTTAATTTCATAGAATCATAGAATCCCTATAGTATGGATGCAGTCCATTCGGCCCATAGTGACCCTCCAAAGAGCATTCCCATCCAGACCCATCCCCCTACCCTACAACACTGCATTTCCCATGTTAGTCCGCCCAACCAGGACATCCCTAGACACTATGGGCAATTTAGCATGGCCAATCCACCTAAACTGCACATCGTTGGACTGTGGGAGGAAACCGGAACATCCGGGGGAAACCAACGCAGACACGGGGACAATGTGCTAACTCCATACATTCAGCCGAGGGTGGAATCGAGCCCGGGTTCCTGGCACTGTGAGGCAACAGTGCTAACCACTTAATTTAGCAGTGCTAACCGCCCTGAGTTTCTCGACTGATAACGACGTTGTTGTTCCTTCTGCTTTTGGCACATCAGTCTCGCAACATCTTCACGATTGCTGTAATCATTCTGTCATTCTGTAAAGGATTGAAATTAGATGCGTGGAGAGATCTGGGGTTGACTCTTAACTGAGCTGTAAGTTGGCCTGTCAATCAGTTCAAGGGCAATTGGGGATGAGCGACAAATCCTGGTTTTATCCGCAGCGTCCATATCACATGAAAGAATAGAGCATCATGGGTAGGGGCAGCTGGGTTGTTTTGGCCCACTCCATCAAAAAACTTTGCAATGTGCTAAGACAGGGAAAGGATGTGCGACGGAAAACTTTGCAGATAGAATTGGATCTTCGAATAACAGACATATTCGAATACGTCTAAAGACTATTTACCCAACTTCTATGGAAATACGTAGCAATAGAAACATTCCAGCAAAGATACACCAAAAAATATGTTTAGATTTTATTTTCCCTAATTCTGCTCATTCTGTCAGTGGGGAAAGTGGGTTGGGTGGGACTGGTGGTAGGGCTAAAAGAATTACTTTACTTTGAGGCGACTCATACATTTCTCATTCTGTCAGCGTTTCTATCTAACCACACAAACACCCAAACGCAGTGCTTAGAAGGCAATTGTGTCATTGCAAGTTAGGATGTCGTAAATATCTGGAAAATGGTATGTGAACCCTGGGGCATCTCAACAGGTTACTTTCAGTACGCCCAACATGATTTGTGGAATTCTTTCCTCAGATGCGGAGTGGGTGAACTGACAATCTGAGGAAACGCTGATCACCTCCACCGGATGAATCAATCCTACGTCCTAAATACCTCACAGCTGCAAGAACAAAATATAATCTGCTGGAAGTAGGAATTGTTAATTCTGCAAAAACTGGACTGATAGCATTGATTAAACTAGGTTAAAAGAATGGGGTGCTAGCTACATTCCGAGATGAGGTGACACCTGTTCAAAATTTATTAATTAGCTGTAGAGCGCTATGGAATGTGTTGAGGGTGTGGAAAGCAACGACACGAATGCGAAAGAACTTCGATTGCATTTTGCGTCTTAAAGCTGCGGGACCCATGTTTAGACTAGTTGAAATGTGATCATAACAAGGCTGAGCCAATATTGATGTGGATGAGTGCATGCAGGTTTGGCTTTTCAGTTAAATTAGCCCTTTCCCTTAGAATGTCAGTTCCATCAAGAAATGACACCAGGAGCAACGCACAATCTAAGGCCTTGTTCATAGCTACCTATTTGAAAATCCGGACTAGTTATTAATCTACTCAAAAAAGCGCTAGATTTTGGTATTTTTCAAAATCGAGGCAATTACTTTTTAAACATTCACTCCTAGAAGTATGGAATAATAGAACACGCCTCCTGCAGAGCCCTGAATATTTCGTTACTTGTTGCATCATTGAGCTCAGATTACAGATATTAGCCAAGTAACTGCAAGAAGTGAAAATATTTGGCCTGGTCTGCAAAGGAAAGCAAATTACTGCATGCACTGAGACGGTGTTAAACATTTACGTTTTAAACGATGCCAAACAATGCCAGCTCTCCGTGCTTAACCTGTTGCAAAACGACTTCTCAAAAAATAATCTGTTACCTGTAGCTTAACTGAACCCATAGTTTGGTGTTCTGAAACCAAAAAGATCCTGTCTCAATAATCACCGCCAACCAAGTCTTAAACACTAGAAATTATTGCCAAATGAACAGTTCATCTTAAAGAAGACATTATTGTACAGGTCCACTTCAATAAGAGGATGTGTCCGCTACCTGATCATAGTGAGTTCCTTGTTGCGTGAGGAAGGCATTGCGATGCTGTACTGCAAACAGGCACTGCTGACAGCTCACTCGATCGCCTCTGCACTGCCTCGCTGAAACCGGTACCCCTCGGCTTTCCTCATATTTCTGTTTGAAATGGAGGCAAAATTGCTTCTTTTTAAAATCGCGCTTCTGTTTAGGAAATCAATCCGGATCACAAGCTCACCCCTATATAGACACACTCTTAACAAAGTCTGATACAAAAGTTTACTTGAGAAAGTGCAGGACCCCTGAATCTGGCAAGAGATCAAAGGCCCAGCACCGAATTTGGTCTAGTTCAGAAATTATTCGGGAAAGACATTGTACCGCTAAAAAAATGCAACCAAAAATTTAATAAGTTTTTCGAAGGAGATTTAAACTGGGCTACACAGCAGAAAGTGTATTTGTTGACATGAACAGTAAAATTTATAACAATTGGATCAACCCTAAATGTCCAGGCGGAAACGCCTTTACGCTTTCATAGAGCTGAACGTGTTTTCAATAATTTTTGACACCGATGAGTTTGCTACCGACTTCCATCACTATTTCGAACTGAAATGAACCTTTATACTTCATCCCACCCCATTCATGCAGATTGTCGTTTAATATAATGTGAAGTACCTATGTTTTTGCAAGATTTCAGCATCACATTGTACGGGGGAGTTCCTCCAACATGTGCCATTAACCATGTGTCATGTTTAATTCAATCACAGCAATGAATGAACTTACAGTGTGTTTTTATGCTGCACTGTCAGTTGTTGAAAAGACCAGTTAGGCGATATCTATTTCATTTTTGGAGCACTGAGAGTGCAATAGGAATGTTCAAAATACAGCTTGCCCGGACTGGGTGTAAGAAGGCGATTTTAAACATGGGGCTGCCTTTTCCACTCCTCCCACCCCTACTTAAGGCGGGATGGGGTGAGTTCATTTCACTGAATTGAAGCTTCTGTGAAAATGGCTCAAAACATTAACACGAAACCCTTGCTCGCCGCTCACCAACTTGCTCATGTTCAGCTGTGCCGGGCATTTCGTTTACAACGCGATGAAATGAACACCACCTAAACCTTGTCCTTGCATGTTCTGTTCTTAATTTTGAATTGTAAAACTACCTCTACTCTTTCTGCCGAATCTACAAGTGGTGCACATATGCTTTGACGAATGTTGGGATAGATCTCGTTATCAGTCCCAGCACATCCATACAGGCGCGCACACAAACACCACTTTTACGAAGTACCATCACATTTGGTGTCCACATGCACTGTAATTACGGACTTTTGGTGCTACTCTCGTCGCTTGCACTTTCTTTGGAACTAATGGAAGCCTTTGGAACTATCGGGTCGTCTGCTACTGAATTCCCGCAAGTACGCATTCACAGATCAGAACGCCAAGTAAAAAGATTTCGTCTGAACTTCTCACCATCATGCAAATTAAATTGCTGCCTGGTAAACATTAATTTAGAGCATAATAGTACTTTTGTTTCGGTTATCGAAATGATTAGACGCTTACATTTCCGAATGGAATGGGTCAATAAATTGGTTTAGCTTGCAATTTAAAAGGTTTTACTTAGCGCGTCAGGGATAAGTTGTAATCAAAAGCGTAAGTTGGTAAACGCTATGTTTGCACTCAGCACTGCAAAACACTTCGAATTCTCAGCCATGGCGCTTTAAGAAGTTGAATTTTTTAAACGAATTGGGCAGTTAGTTAGAAGACCGTTTTCTTTAAGTTGTCGTACAACACAATGATTTGATTGGTTCATAGATTATTCTGAATTCATGTAATATACAGTCATGATCATTTAGTCAACACAGGGTTGATTGCATATCAGGGACGAATCTTGTTTTTTTTAAGGTTATCTGATCCAAGTTCAAATTGTTGGCTTCAGTTCGAGGTCCTGGATTGTAACAACCTTTGTTCAGTGACATTGGACTGATTAACAAGCAATTAATTACTTTAAAATCGGGTGGACGGAGCTGAAGCCTGTAAGAATTCTCGCTGTCTAGAACTCTACGGAAAGACCATGGCTCATAACACTTTGGATTTGGGTCGTATTTGAGCTAAGATCGAAACTACAAGACGAATAAAGGAAAATATTCCCCCTTAACCCGCCAAAAAAGCGTCTACAATGTGATTGACAAGACAATTAAAATAATAAAGATGCAACTCTGTTCTGTCTTGGTGACCACGCATTCACCTGAGTAGGAACGACAGCGGGATAAATGTTGAATGTATTAAGTAATGGCATGTTGAATGTATGCACACATAACAGTTATCATGGTGTAACAATACTTGCGCTTAAAGATGCAATAGTCATTAGTGCCTGTTCTGTGGATTGTAAATCTCTGATACGCTAACTATCGAATGTACAAAAGACTACTAATTTCTAATGTGGCTTTATAGAATAAACCACTGTGTGGCGCTATACGCAAATATATTAAACACTGAAGCTAAGCAACACTACAGAAGAAATCGTCTTATTTTAACTTTGCACTGAAAAGGCATCTCTTTTCTACGACAGATATGCTGCTTAAAAAGTATGAAAATTTGCTGTAATCGGGTCTTTAAAGTGCGATTTGAAAACGTGGCTTCTTCATCAAAAATCAGTAACAAAGATTCTCTCATCATATTAACTTACATCGGTGGCAGTAGTGAATGCGATACAGTTCTATTCCTGAAAAAAAGGACACAATTAGTGGTTACATTTTCAATTGGCTATAATGTTTAACGAATACTGTAACATTTAAGTGATGATTGACTCTAATGTCAAAAATAGGAAGAATAACTTACAATGTTAGGATTTTGTAAAAAAATCACACTTCATAGAACTCCTACTTTGGAAAATTATTTGCCAACTGTTCACAGGGTTTCATTGCTTTCGAAAAACTTTTGTTTTTTTTTCTTTCTAGGGACATACAGACTATTTTAATTCACGTACCCTTTTCATATTCCATGGATACACTTATTATACAGAAGATAATGTAGTCAGATAGATATTGGAACTATTAAATAATCTCATTCTAATAGTGCCAACAAGATGACACAAACGTTTTAACCCACTTTGCATTCATATTATCAGCATTAGAATAGCTTGGGCTCAAGCGCTTCATTTGCCATTTCTGTGTTTTATCCTCTGTTTTCAACGCAATTTAAAAATTACATTAAACGATCCATTGTATTATAATTTTCGGCTTTGGAAAGTAAGCAGTGAGGCCATCCTAATAATTTTTAAAAGTCCTGAATAAATCTTTGGTAGGGATTAGAAAGGTGAGTTCACCTTCTAATGCAATGCTAGGACTGGAATTCAGTGAAAAGCGTCATTGATGTGCTACCTATAGAAGAAAAAGTGATCTGTCGGTAAGACCAAATATAAGATAGGAGACTTAAAATTGTGTATTCAACCAACAGAGAGTTAAAACTGTACATTTTGCTAAAGGATTTTTTTTGTATTTGAAAAGACATTTGGTGATTGCTGTATTTATAAATTCAATGGCAAACTGACAGATAATTTGATGTATGGGGATATACCAACATACTTAAAGGAAAAGAGTTCTATCCATCACCAGCTAATTTCGTACATTAATATACAAATTTTCTAATTGGGGGAACTATGCCCCCAGTCTACCTTGCACAATTTAGTTGTGAACTATTCAAGTAGCTCCATTTGATATTTTGAAGCGTCTGCCCGATTTAACACTAAGATGTGGCTTGAGATCCTCACGAAGAACGTCCCCTCTTTCTAATGAGTAAAGACCCAATTTTATTCAAGAGCACGTCACAAACTCATAAAGTATGGCACGTGTTGCAGTTTGAAAAGGATTAGAGTTTGGTTTCATGAATTAAACATCCATTGACTGCAAAGTAACGATCCTGAGCATTTCCCACTGCACACTAAAATCCATTTGTCATTATTTAGTGCTCATATACCTCATTAAGTGGTACGTTTAGGCATCTAATTGTACCCCGATAGCCACTAATTTGTGATCTATTACAGTAAACCTTGTATATGATTATTTTTTTCTTTTGCCCCGCTCGGCGAGGCCTCACTGCAGAACACAGGTAAACTTTGGGAGATACAGTTGGAATTGGAGCAAATAAAATATTTTTTTTATTAACAAAACTCGATTGTCCCTTGGTGGGAAAAAGATTGATTTGCTTAACGATTCCTTTTTCAATAATTCCAAGTTGATGGCAATTTGAAGGAATTAAGAACATAAAGTACTACCAGCGCCTTCAATTGAATTTATATTGGTGATTTATGAGAACAACAATCAAATTCTTGACTGAGGTCACGATGAATACTTATTAACTGACTTCTCTGACTATTATTTTTGAATATTGTCATTAATATCTCTGCAAAATTATTGTGGTTGCACAATCGCTTTGGAATCTTTATAAACCTACTGCGTCAAGAGAAAGATACTGAGCAAATGTTCTATTCCTCAACTGAATCGAGCACACGGTCACTTTTCATTACATAATGACAAAGAAACTGACCTGAGAGACAGGAGTGTGCAACAGATAATGGCGCAGTTGATACTGTATTTTCCAAATACTCGGGTTCGTGGTCCTTAACTGTAACAAAACGTTAAGTTAAATCCAATGTTCGGCGAGGAATGTGTTAGTTAAGTAGGGATTGGAGGGCACGAATTACAGAAGTGTCAATAATCAAGGTTGTTGGTCCCATTCTTTGTACTTTTTTTGGTTCTTAATTCCTCGCAGCGCAAACGTATTTGTGTGATTTCACCTGATTCTCCATAACATTTTTAAAGGTACCCTTCATGGAGGGAATCAAAATAAATATACATAAAAGAAACAACCAGCGATGATATATTAAAACATATTCACATGTAATTCGAGTATAGATAATATTTTGACTTATTAAACATGCAAACAAGTACAGTTAAGTACTGGCAATGTCAACATTCCTTTCCAATAATGCCTCCCATCTTTGAATATGCCATCATCTTCCGCTAAATAAATCCTACTTTTTGAAATGGTAGTCTGTGTGTTGGCTAAGGATTAAAAATCCACTTCAATTCTGCCAAAAGGTTTACAGTTAACCTTGAAGTAAAAACACAGACATAACATTGAACGTAAGGAACCACAGCACGGCTGATGCGTAAATATAGATTTTTTTCTTAATTGCGCCTTGAAATTTGATTTTTATTTGCATGAATCAGTATCAAGTTCATGATGTAGTGTTATTTTGAAGATTTAAAAAAAAATTGAGCTAATGGTATGCTGGCATTACATAATGACTGTCCAGTGCTTCCGGGAGACGAAACTGGTGATTAATATTCGTATCCATTTCAACCTTTAAGGAAAATGCATCATTTAATTTCATAGAAAGTTACAATAAAACTGCGAAGCTTTGGAGGTGTAATTATCTAACAAGCCTGTGTTGCAAGAGTTTAAAAATAATTAGCACTGCATTTATTTCTATTTCTGACAGCCGGAATCTATGCGGACTTGCCTGTACCGTAGAAAACGCAACATGAACTCCAAATCTGCTGCTGATTTTTATTGATAGCATTGCTGTTTGGTTATAGCCATTTAAGTACCATGTTTCTATTATTTATAAATGCAAAGCATGCTTGTAAAACACAAATACCGAGCAAGCAGTGTTTCCTTGTGCATTTGAAATATTTTCAGTTTCGACTCCTGATTCTGATACTTTGATAAAATGTAACACTGATTGGGTGATAGGCGGAAGAATGCTCACAAAACTATCTAACACAGCATGCAGAACATAACCTTGTTTGCTTCTGAATATAAACCGATTTTGCGGTATATTCAGAACAGAAGACACAATGCAGTAGTTGGAAAGGAAATTATTTCCCATGCTATTGTCGCTGAATTTCAATTCGAATCATGGCCGAGATCATGAGAGTACATGAATAATTAAAAGTCATTCATTGTGACCCACGTTAGGCACTTTGTTTGGGAAGAAATAAAATATAATTTTCCCTAGCGCTCAAACCACACAGAGCTATATGTTTGAGGTTGTTTATTCGAGAAATGCCGCTTCACTGTGGGATTAGTATGGAACCGAGTGGGTTCATAATACCCTAGAACTTCAAACCAAGCTCCATCATGGGTCTAGAACATTCTTTGATGTCGACCCGGTCACTCTTACCAAACCTAAAGCAATAACTAAAGTTCTGACCCTTAAAATAAGAGAAATATTTTCTGACTGAGATGGAATTGAAAGATAAGATTAACCGAGTCTCTGTCTCCAATAATATTTAATCATTTAACAGTGTATTCCATTGTACTAATGTTTAAAAAGGGCCATTCATAGAAATTATGGGCATCGCGCGCGCAGATAAAGCCTTCAACATTTTCCAGAGGCTAGCTATTGTGGTCATATTGCTATTTGCGCAACATAGAGGCGAAAAGTCTTTATTTTTCTGTGAAGTCTATATTGCTAGTTCTTTAATAACACCGAGCAGAGAAAAAAGAGCTTTACACTCTTTCAAGAAGAAAATATCACCACATTAAAACATTTGAGTTTCCAAAGGCTCACGCGGCTTTGTCCTTATTGAATTCATTCTGATATCAATAACAAAACGGAATAATGTTCTTGATGTAATTGTGATTTTGATAATAACGCCGAAGAATAAAAGAGCGCGATATTTAAAACGACAAAATGTTTCTTCGCAACAGCTTGAGGAACAGCTCAAGCTGTTATGTTATGGCAGTAATTAAAAATGAGCGACAATGGGTTACAGTAAAAGGCACAATCGAACACCTCTACCCCTACCTTCAAACTGCTGTCTGACACAGTTAAAAAAAAAACACTGTACCCAGAGAAGCGGGACAACACAACAATGCTAAACCATTTACATTTATACCGCAATAGAATATGTACGTATGGGCAAGACCTAGAATTCCAGATTTTAAATGACACCTTCCAGGGAAACAACTGGAACTGAACGTTCGATTGGTGGGAAGGTTTTATAGACTGGCGGACCTCCCTACACCTAGTACATACAACCTCCTCAAATATAGTGGGAAGGATAGAATAAACTGACTGATTAACAAGGTGCTTCAATATTTAATCTCCTGACCTTAATGAATGCGGGAAATACCTGTTTACGAGACTCTCAGGAGTGGAATGCAATTAAGTGCGGGAGATTGAGACATGCTGGGTTCTTAATTCTTTGTGTTTACTTAATATAGCCCGAATTATTAACATGCGGCAAAGAGAAAGGAGCATTAACGCACCTAGGAATCACGCAGACTGCGCAGAGTCGATATAATTATCTAATTGTATAATTCCCCTACCTGACCAATAGAAATGTAGAGGATTCAGTCCGAACAAGGTCCCTGGACACGAGGCGGTAACCAAAACAAGGAGCCATCCCGAAACTCCGGGAAACTGCGCTCTCTTCATCTGAAGGAGATTTAGCATTTTGTTGTTTTAAGAATCATTTGTAAAGCCACCTTCTAATCCCGCGTTACTGTTCTATATTGTGCGCTGTGGTGTAAACTTAAAGCGCGTTACGATGTGAGCCGGAGGAAATTCAGGAACACACACTGAAAGCCGCGCCTACAGCAGCTTTCCCCCTCCGCAAATGTTTGTCGTTCCTGTATTTTTTAAAAAGGTATTTACTTATCGGATGCTTTGTCACATTGCGTTCGGGCTTTATGTGTGTGTGTGTATGTGTGTTGCAGGTACCGAATAGCCAAGCAGTTTTTTTCTCTCTCTCTCTGCTAGATGGGTTGTTGAGCCATGACTGGTTGTCGAGGGTTTTGTTTTTTTTGGGGGTGGGTGGGGTAGGGAGGGGTGGGGGATGGTGGCTGAGCGGTGGGGGTTTGGGCTGGTGCTTTGATCCATTCCGTATGGATGGAGTCCGCCTCTCCGGGTTTAAAGAGCAATTGACGCACTTTAAGAATCTTCCCTCAACCTCAAGGCGAGTAATAGCGACCAATCATCGAGCCATTACAGGGCTTCAGTGGAAGCTGTTTATGTGATATCAGCACTAATTAGCCCATGAACTAACAAGTCGTTTGCACAACTTTTCAGGCGTGTGATAAAGTGACCGCATAGATGGATTGTCTCTGGACTATGTGGACACATCGCTACTAAAAGTGTACTCGGACCAACTTTTAATGTACTCTCTCTTCAATTTGAGCAGTAATACGTCTTTTTTGGGGAGGGGGGAGTATCGCACAACCGCCCTCTTTTTTCTCTCTCTCTCTCTCTCTCTCTGTCTCCCGCACTGAGGATATACTGACTGGCAAGTCATGTTCCAGCCAACACCGAAACGGTGTTTCACCATTGAATCTCTGGTAGCCAAGGATAGTCCACTGCCTGCATCGAGAGCCGAGGAACCTATAAGGCCAGCCGCCCTCAGCTATGCAAACTCTAGCTCAGTGAATCCATTCCTGAACGGCTTTCACACCGGCGGCCGGGCTATCTACTCCAACCCGGATCTAGTGTTCGCAGATGCGGTCTCTCACCAAACCAACACGGCGGTGCCTGTTCACCCGGTCCCTCCACACGCTTTAGCTGGTCACCCGCTGCAGTCTTCCCATTCTCCACATCCCCTGTTTACATCGCAACAAAGAGACCCTTCGAGTTTCTATCCATGGCTAATACACAGGTACAGATATCTGGGACACAGGTTTCAAGGTACGTCTGTCTTTAAAAAAATGCACTGATTTCTTTTCTCTCTCTCTCTAAATGTTACTGTTCGTTTTAGACTCATTTCCAACTGGTGGCTGTTTCATACAACGCGCCGTGTCCGATCTTACAATGTTAACACGCACATCGCCTTTAATTTCTCGTGTGCTGAAGTAACAAGCAAAAGTTGAAAGCCGGAGTTTGTTGACGGGCCTGTTTTGTAGAGCTGAGCCGAGCGGGCTGCAGTACCGGGGGAAACGTTGGCTGTGCTCCCGGTTCCTCGAACAGCGAGACGCCACAGGCAGCGGGGAGCCCAGGCGGAGGTTGAACTTGCTGGGGTTTTTTTTTGGGGGTGGGTTTGGGGTTTGGAGGGGGCGGGGAGGGGGTTAAGGTGCTGGATCTGGACAGACCGACCTTCTCACTACATCCCACCCTCTGAATGCGGCTCCGGGGTTCATTCAGAGCGATTCAAGACCCATATTGAAGTCAGTATTTTTATGTTGTTGTTAGAAATTTTCTGGGTCAGTTGTTTGTATACAAAAGGCCGGGCTTCCAGGAATGAGGTTTGCACGGAGTTTAATTCAAGAAAATGTCTGAATTCCAGAAAACAGGCTCTTGTTTTGACATCTTGCAGTTTTTTTGATTCTCTGAAACTGCCTGGACATGGAATAGAATAGTTAAAAACAACACACACATTGCTCTCATTTATTCGGTTAAATGGACTGAAACATGAGGATATGAATTATTTTTCTGTCTATTTTAGACGTCAAATGAACGGGTGTTTTTGCTCTTTGCTTTTGGCATTAAAAAGAAATCATTTGAGTAAACTAATTAATTGCAATTGTCCATGACGGGCGAATATAGTTTACTCTACTTAAATCGGTTAAAATGGCACAGTTATTAACAAGTATAGTTCATAAAATAAATAGTGCTTGTTCTCTGCTGTTAAGTTTAGCTGTAATGGCCTGTGCGGCCTCGGCTCTGAACTGAAAAACGACTAAAAAGCTCGGATGAACTATATTCGTTCGGAGCTCAAGAGCAATGGTGTATAATGCGCGCTCGATTGATTTAATTTAATGTAACTGAAATATATCATATTAAGCAAATTATATGAAACCAAATCTATATTAAATGTTTGCTGAGACCTTGTGAAATTGCTTGTCGGAGATCTACACAGCAGCTTGAATAACTTCGGTGCAAAGTGGTAATTGGTGACTGGAGATTAATTTTAACAGTAACAAAGTGACGGATTTGGTCCTGCTTACAATCTAGCTCTGAATTCTTTCTGTTGCTTTCTTGTGTCAATCTCAGGCAACGAGACGAGCCCGGAGAGTTTTTTATTGCACAATGCACTGGCCAGAAAGCCCAAACGCATCAGAACGGCCTTCTCCCCGTCTCAGCTGTTGAGACTGGAGCACGCCTTTGAGAAAAATCACTATGTGGTCGGGGCCGAACGGAAACAACTGGCGCACAGTCTCAGTCTCACAGAAACTCAGGTGAGAGAGCTCAAGCTTCTTCAAACGTTTGCGGTTGTGCTGGCCTCTGTTTTTCAACGATTCTCCGAACAATTGCAGCCTGGCAGAAATGTAGGCTTCAAAAGCCTTTTTTTTTTGTAACGTTCCCTTTGACTGGATCTTGCCAGCAAGAATTTGATGCTTTAGTAGCGGGCTGTTGTAAAATACAGTCAGCAATTGTATTCTTTTTAAAAAAACATACTTAAAGATACATTAAGAAAGATTATTCTTCATAAAGTAAATGGCTACAGGGAAAGATCTGGTCAATTAGTCAATGTTCTCCGGTTCTTTGCTGGTTTTAAGTTGTCTTTATATGCGTCTTAGAGATGACCAAAATAATTAAACGATTTTGCACATTAATCGCAAACAATTAGCTTCCGGAGCTAGGGAATAATTTGCAATCTAACTGCACTGTTCATCCCGGCGTTGGGAAAGTGGTTGTATTATTAAGAGTTGTGTATTTTAGCTTTTGAGCTTGTTAGGTGTGAATGTTGTTTGGGATTTTCAGTTCAGAGAATCATTCAGGAGAAGGGAGACTCAGAGAAGCGCCGATGACATCTGGCTTTCCGCGGCGCCTTGGCCATTTGCATCGGTCCACTTCTGTCAGCAAGTTGCCAGTGTTAAGCGAAATCATTATAACAATTCAAAAGCGGAGGGGCACAGGTAAAAAGTGAAAGCGGCGGGCGCAGGAAACAGCGCGCAGCCGGGCTCACCGTCTGCAGCAGTCTGTGCACAAGTGTAGCTTTAAGGCTTTGTGTTTTTCAAAACCATATCGGGCAAAACATTATGGGGGAACAAATGCATCGCCGTCTTCATTTGGCTGTCGAACAAGGGAGCGGTCAGGCTTAATTTCCTAGTTAATGTGGTTTTTAAGGTGCCTTTGTGTGATTGCGAATCGATGCTGACTGGGGTCTTTTGTCTGGGTGTCGCGCATGGCCTGAATAAACGGCATCTCTTTGGAAAACCAGTGGCATCCCCCTCAATTAGGAGAGAGAGAGGGAGAGAGAGCAGGTTCATTTCATTCGCTGACTAATGGGGGTAAAATTACAAGACCAGTGTATGCTTTATATAAAAGCGGACTCAAATGTCGGCATACTGTTTTCTCCATTTATCTACAAACTTTACTTCATCTTACTGTTAACAAAATAGAACGGCATTTGTGCGGACAATTAGAATTATTTCTCCCTAGATATTTAACAGTCCTTGGCCTTCTATGTTTCTGTGTGGAATGAATCGATTTGGATTTTACTTCTGAAGCGCTTTCGAGGTTTGCAATGAAGCCCAAACAAAGCAGTTTCAAAGCGGAAACATCACTTTGGAAAGTTGACATGTTTGAAAAGTTCGGTGCAGAGACAAGCGCGCTGCTCCCTCTGTCATTTGTTCCCAACCAGACAGTTCATGTATCCCACTCACTCGATTGGAAAGCAAGTTTCATTTATGGATTAAAAAGTACATTTCGGCCTTAAGACCGTCCCCAATCGGTGAGCAGCTACTGCCAAAAGAAAAATAAATATGCGAGATCGTTCCAGTGTTTTGTGAATGTGGAAAGGTAAATGAGTGGGGATTGGGGGAGAGACTGGGAACAAGGATGGGAGGTCAGGAGAGAACATTTGGAGCGGAGGGGGATATACATGTAATTTCATTGGAAGAAGGTTGTACTTTTGAGCTTTTATATTTCGCCCTGTTGTATTTCTAAATCTAATCGTGTCCCTCTGGTCTCCTCGTTATTGAATAAAGAGGAATGTCTTGTGCAGATTGCTAACCCCACACACCATTTTAGTACATTGCAGAGAAATTTGCACTTTTGTTTGCTTTCGTTACATTTCAGTGCTCTTGTTTATAATATTATTATAATTCTGTACACTTGTTCATACTATTAAGTTGCATTTTAGTTTATTATTTAGCTTACTTATATTGTAATATTAAACGCGCTGCAGACTTCTGAAATGGATTAATGTGCAAAGTAGGAAAAATCCCCAGCAAAGCGGCCCTGAAATGCCAAGTAAATCAGTAACAATTGCGCTAAACAAATCTTTTGTTGTAAATCAGAGCAAAATTTTCATCGTTTTATTGACATAGCCCGCTCCGTAAAATGCTTGCGCTGCTAATATCAGCTGGTGGAGTGGAAAGTGAGAAAGTCTGCAGGCTACTGTCGAATTAATTGCAATCTTTGGTACTTTTCAGGTAAAAGTTTGGTTTCAGAACAGAAGGACGAAATTTAAACGACAGAAACTGGAAGAGGAAGGGACAGACGCCCAGCAGAAGAAAAAGGGGACCCACCACGTCAATAGGTGGAGGCTTGCGACCAAACAGGCGAGTCCTGAGGAGATCGATGTCACCTCGGACGATTAGGACTGTAACATTCGTGTCAAACTATAGTGTTAACTTTCAAGCAGCACAGTTGCTGATGTAGAAAAAGAAAAGGGGTAAACGAACACTTCAACCAAATGCAATTCCTGTGACGAGGCAGCTGGGGTAAGAAGAGGTCCGGGAGGTGGCACTGCGCGCACCGTGAACTGTCTAGAGACAGCAATCAATCAACTCCGGGGCAAGATGATTGACAAGCGGACATGTTCA